TATTTGAAACACTGTCATTGTCTTTATAGCTTACTATGTTAATGGAAGTGTGTTATTAATACATGTTTATTTTCCTGTTTATGACTGACTTGTTTATCACTAACACGATTGATCGTCCATGTATAAGGCCCCCGTGCATGTAAGCCCCCTCCCCTAAGCCCATCAAAAATCACTTACAAAAGAATATAAGCCCAGGGCTTATAGTCAGAGGTTTATGGTATTATATATCCCATATTTTAACAATAAACACATTATTTTTATTATATTACATTAACATATATATATATATATGGATCACATATAAAGTCTTTAAATGACAGTACATTGTGTTTGTAATTATAATTACCATAATTACTTGTGTCGAAAGTAAGAAATGAAGTGAACAAATCCATATATATTTGTTGAAAATTTGTTGGCTGTGGGTATCTTCCATTTGTTTTTCATGCTTCACACTGTGTATCTTTGAACATTTAATCAGCAACTAATTATAAGCAAGGATATATTTACTAGCTCATTTCTCCATATTACCAGGTACATAACATGCAAATTATACATCAACCTTGCAATCCAGGCTTTAACCCTGCAGTTGCCCCTCTCCTGCAGCATGTTTGGGAAGGGAGAGGAAGGAATCGAGGTACTGTAATTTCTATATTTAGCCCCCTTCTCTTCAAGCCTCTCTCCAATAACCCCCTCCCCCCTCATTTGGATACAAAAACCAAAAAGCCCCCCCCCCTCATTTGGATACAAAAATAAATAAGCCCCCCTCCTCTTTTTACCATGCAGCCCTCATTCAATTTCTTAAAATCATGAAATATATTGCATTTCTAATACTTATTTTAATAAAATATAGTACAACGGTAACTCTGAATATGGACATTTTTTAATGGTAACCAGACTTATTGCATATATTTAGAACAAGTGCCCCCTCAATGATGCTTAGGAAACAATAGGAGGCTTGATAGTTGATACAGAAATTAAAGTAGTTATTTGATTGAAACTGGTAGCTATTTCAATTCTAATGTCAGTATCTCCTTTTATATATAATTGGATTAATTGCCAATATATTCACATAGTATAATAGTTTGGAAATGGAATCAATACTTGTATATTTTTAGCAAATGAGCATTGTTATTGATCAACAATGACTCTTATTGCTATAAACAACATTGTTTCACATAGCACACATAGCAACAGACAAGGAAACATCTGTATTTAAATTCACTACTTATTTTTTATCCAGACACAAATTGATGTAAAAATTGTTTCAGGTTTGGCTTAGTTATAGCCTTACATTGGGCTATTCCATTTAATATCCATACCCCCCCCCCCCTGTCGAGGATCCCTGGAATTCTTCAGGGGTAAAGGGTTTTGAGCTTGGAATTCTTCAGGGGTAAAGTGTTTTGAGCTTGGAATTCTTCAGGGGTAAAGTGTTTCGAGTTTGGAATTCTTCTGGGGTAAAGGGTTTTGAGCTTGGAATTCTTCAGGGGTAAAGGGTTTTGAGCTTGGAATTCTTCAGGGATAAAGGGTTTTGAGCTTGGAATTTTGGAATTCTTTGAACAGGGTAAAAGGTTTTGAGCTTGGAATTCTTCAGGGGTAAAGGGTTTTGAGCTTGGAATTTTGGAATTCTTCAGGGGTAAAAGGTTTTGAGTTTGAAATTCTTCAGGGGTATAACCATGAAAAACATGTATCCTCGACAGGGGGTGTACGGATATTAAATGGAATAGCCCATCATGCTGTCAAGTGGCAATCACTTACAAAGCAAATCTATAACCAAATGTTTTACAACCTGAGGAACTTCTTAAATAAATTATTCTATAATTTATACAGATGCTACAAAAACACCTGGCATCTTAAATTTATATAGATAACTGCATTTACAAAAGCACAAAGACCACGGGCTACAACATGTTGAGTGTTGACCATAATGTACTGTATTGTTTAAAGCTTCAAGTTTTTAACACAAGCAAAAGCTGTCACTCCAAAGTCCTGGCAACAATATGTCAATTTAACAAAACGACAACGTGTGCAATGATTTCATTTGATCTCATTTAGCCAATTCTTTCATGGTTATAATGAATATACTCGTACTGTAGATCGATAAAAGTCATTCATAAATACCATGCCATTTTGTAAGTATATACCCAACGTCCCAATACTTTTTCAAACGATTAATATCATATCCTTCGATTTATATCGTTTGATTTCGCATTCCAAATCTGATAAACATTGATAATTCTCTCTTCGCGTACGTCCACGCGTAATTCTCGCAAAAAACACGCATTAATTGTGTCGGCAGCATTGATGATCACGGCAGCCAATCAAATAACGATTTCGATTCGATTTCCCCAGAGTCATGCCACAACCTAACCCGCGAACAGGCATATTGTGAAATCATAAACTTTCAATAGTTGTACTTAATTAAATGTGCACGCACAGGTTATAATTTTCACTTATTCTGACAATAAATTTTACGCCACCTTGACCACGAGGGCGCAAAATACGATCAGCGCGCCCACTTGCGTGCCTGGAACTATATTTTGCTGCCTTAAAATTTGCGGGTGGGATCCTGGGCAACCATTTGCATTGTCAAATCCCCGGGGTCCTCAGCGACAATAACATACCCGCCCCCGTACATGAAATGATGAAAGGCAAATTCCCGACCCCTGTGAATTGTCTATCAGGCAAATTCCCGGGGGGATGGTTACTCCAGGAATTGACTCATGCATAACATTAATTTAATATGTAAATAATTATATACTAGTTGTATTTGTAAATGTATTGTAATTTTGTTAACTGTAATGTAATGTATGACCATAATTTGTATTAATTGTATTTTTTAACTATTTAAATCTACGCCCCCCTTGGAAATCAGCTTTCGCTGTAGGGGTTAGCGTAGTTAAACCTTACCTACCATTCGAACCGCCATTGTTTTGGTAGCAAATACGAATGCGCATGTCAGCCAAACTCGCACTGCGCACGCGCAGACAGGAAAAATGGATTTTCCCTGTGGGTTTTCCCCGATTTCCTTCGTAAAAACAACAAAATAAAATCACGGAGTAGAGATCAAACCTTGTAATATTAACGAATAAACAAATTAAATATTGTTTAAATTAAAATACCTTCTTGTACATTTTGCTTGCTCATATGCTAAATCACTTCAAATCATTGGCCATTGTTTCAAAATAGCGGTATAACGTTTAATTCTACTTATTAACACCCTAATTCAATACAAATTTGTGTGAGGTAAAACACACCTGTATCAAACTATTCAAACATAGACAGAAAAACAAGATGGAGAATATACAAATATACATACAATTCATACGATCAAGGAACAAATTAAATACTTTGCTAAACTAAAGCCTTGGCCAAACGTAAGAAACATTGTCGCGGAATTAACAGGGAATTCTTGCAATAGACAATGATATAATGCGAAAAATCTGCACCTTAATTATGAGTAAAGGTACAGACATCAACGAAAATATTGCTAACCAAAATCATGCTGCCCGTACCCTGGCCCAGAGGTTTTTTTAGGTATGCTACCCGTACCCGTACACCGAAACCGGGGTATCTTAAACTCACTAATGTTTTATCTGCGACCGTTCATCCTTATAGCTTAGTTGCAAGCGACGGTATAGCCAACCTCGTTCTCAGGCGAAGAAGGCAACAAACCTCAGTATTTTCATAACAGCCATATTTTTCGTTATTATGGAAAGCGGAAGTTGCGGAACTGAGGAGTAGATTAGATCTGTCGACGAACTTAACCAATCAGAGACCAGTATTACCAAAAATTACGTAATTGCAAATCACAGATTGGTCGCAAGACAATCCAATATGGCGGTAAAGAGGGGTTATAAAAATTTAATATGATTTATATATTTATTCAGGCATTGAAATATGATGACTTGTGGATGAAAATGAGCAAAATTTAAAAATGAAAATTAAAGCCCAGCAAATGACTTTCAGACAAGACATAACAAAAATATAAAACATTATTCAACGAAACGTTAGGGAAGCCTCACATATCGATTTTTTCCACGAGAAACGTCATATGTTTTGGGGGTGGGGGGGGTGGCAGCCGTGACGTTTCTCTGTAAACATCATGGAAAAATTCGATAGTTTTTATCTTTGCAGAATATAAAAAAAAAAAAAAATTTGATACAAACAGCAGTCTATATATTCGTAATACCATACCTGTTCTATACCTATACATTTATATTATTACGCCTTCCTTGCATTGAAAACACTCAAATTTCAAGAAAAACGCGCTAAAATTATCAATATTTCATGCAAAAAAAGTTGTTTTGAGAAACGTTGGAAATTTTGAAGTTCATATATATATATATTAATAAAAAAAGAGTATGTCAGCAGAAGATGACATATTCCTCGCGGAAGCATCGCCAATAGCCGACCGAAAAAAAATAGTAGAAAATTACCTTATGTGTACTCATAGTGCACTGTAAGAACAAAGTATCGATAACTATGTGTGACGTTTCTAAGGGGGGTGGGGAGGTCTCCAGAGAAACGAACATATGACGTTTCTCATGGACAAAATCGATATGTGAGGCGTCTTGTCTGAAAGTCATTTGCTGGGCTTTATTTTCATTTTGAAAATGGAGCGAATCAAGATAAATTAATCTTGGAAATACGTGTCTGTTTTGTAGTAGCATGCTTGCTGTGCATTTTTCAGCAATTTACGAAATAGTACGTATTGGTTTTCGAAGTGTCTACCATGTTTCCTATTTATTTATTTATTTATCAGCTTTATTGGACAAATATAGTAGAAACATTTACAAGTTTAAGTCCAAAGGGGATAGCGCAAACGGGACAACGAGACCCATGCTAGGCGCACCCCCTCCAAAAAAAAGAAGAAAAAAACCCCCAACCTAATTCACTATATACAAATATATATTATATAACATGCGTATTAAGAACGGTGGCAGGGGCAGTCTCTTGTGAGCGACCAAGTGCATGCCATATCAACATTAAAAGTACTGTTGACCAAGGCGGTGTATGTCACATGCAGAAAGCTTTTAAAAATTGTTAAACTGGCGAACTTTTTAGGAGAGGCTATTTTTTCCAACATTATTCCAAGTTTTAACTATTCGGTTAAAGAACGATCCTTGGAAAGTGGATGTTCTACAGTAAGGAGATTTTAACATTAGGTATGGATTCTGAGTACGAGTTCGATTATGATGTATAAATGACACAAAATGTTCAATGTTCAAATCAGTGTTAAGTCTAGGACCTGTATATGAGTTTGTATGCATTTCATTTAGCACAGGTAATCTCAACTGTTTTAGGGTAAAATGACCATGGCGGTCAACATGGCATATGTGCCAAAAGCTGAATCCGGGACGAAAGTCCTGAAAATGACCCCGCCCTGAAACGGCAGTGTCGACATAGCTCTAACTTGAGAAAACAAAAAGCGATAGTCTTTCTGAAGTGCTTATAGTGTTTAGAAGGGTTGCTTTAGGGGTGGTCATTGGAAGAAAAATTTGTCTAAGTATAATATTTTACAAGAAAATGACTATGCACCACCCCAGGTAAATTGCTGATTATGCATAAAATAACTAATATGCCTGGCAGAAATTAAATATTCTTATTTCCTAAAAAAAAATATCATGGGGTTAAAAACTATGCTTAATTTAATGTAAATATTGTTGATTTCATAAGGATTGTCATTGTTTTCTTTAAATATAATAAATTTTATTTCACTTACCCCCCACGAAAACGCGATTTCAGCCATATTTTGCCATCTTGTTTCCTTTTTATCGCCGAATCACGCAAATATCATCCAGTTATTGTACTTTTACATAATCATAAATGGCTGAAGAAGATTTCAAAGAAGGTTTCATCCACTTTTGAAACAGTGCAGTGTATTTTATCTTCGATAATGTGTCCTTCGATATCTCGTCAAATTGCCGCCATTTTAATGGCTCGCCGCTTCTCTGCCCGATAAATGCTACTTCTTCGTTTTCATATGTATTTAGATTACATTATCCAAGAGTACTTCATTGTAGAATAGTCCCAATCCAAAAATTGGAAGTATTATTTGTACTTGGGAGGAAAAAACCTCCCAGTACAATTGTCCTGTTAGAATTCAAAAGAAATAATTTAAAAGTCACGCGCAAGTTCGCGAAAACACCTAGTGGGTTACATAACAGGGGGGGTGAATATTTTCACGAAACGTTTGTTCGCCACCACAGCAACCTAACTAAATGTATTATATTTTTTGTATTTTTATAATTGATGATAAATATACGCAAATATTTATTGTTTTTTCCAAAAATCACAAATATACAATAAATATAATGTACCTAACTT